AGACAAGGCCCTGGAATCTCCTTCTCCCAGGCTCAGATACACAAAGCCAGACGGAGAGAGAGAGAGCGCTCTCTTTAAAGACTCCACTTCTCTTCACATGGACGCAGTTGCTGCCCCTCTCGCTCCCTCTTGGACAGCCAGATGTTTACACTAGCTCTAGGCTCAGGCATGTTTCCATGACGATACAAGCCCAGGGTTAGTCATATGCCTAGGGGTAGACCTGATGCACCGGATCCTGGATCACTGCTCCCTCGTCGCTATCACCTTCAAGCTTGATCTACAGACATCTGATAACCCTGACTTTCACAGAATCCTCTAAAAGAACTTTTGCTTTATAGGAAAGCACAAAACCTTCATGGGGAATAATTTTGAAAAGCCTCTGAATTCTATTGTGACAGCATTTCTTTAAGTCCGGCATTGCAATTTCTGCCTCTTTACAGCAGTATGGCCTCCCAGAATATTCGAATAATGCTCAGTCTCTCTCTCTCTCTCTCTAGCTCTCCCTGTCTTCAGCGGTGGGCATGTGGGCTCATTCTCGACGGGCATTGTAAAAAAGATAAAGGAACTCTCTAACCTAACAGGAAAATAAAACCAGATCCACCCACATGAAAAGAAACAGCCCACACACAAACAAAAAGAATAAGCCCTCACCCAACAAAAACAGCCTTAACGCTCAGCCCGATAGCGTCTCGCAGACGACATGCTCCTGCAAGATTTGCGTTGCGCATCTCAAATTCTGCACCTTTGTGGACAGAATGTTTGAATGCTTGTTGATGTGGGCCCTGAAGAAGCTCTTTGAAAAAGCCTTGTGAGTCCTTAGCTAAAAAGAAGTGCAGAGGGGAAAAAAAAAAGAAGATGTGGATCCATGAGTCTGTTCTTGCACAAACAAGCTTGTGTTCCTTCAACTTTGTAAAATATTTCTCTTCGGCATTGTCATACCAGCAATAACTTAACAATGTGTGCAAACCTTCATTGTTTTTACCAAGCCTTTTGTTTAAATGCTGTTCTCTGTATGTTGTATTGTCGTCTCATATTGGCCGAATGTTAAATAAAGTTTTTGTGCAGCATCTCCACTAACACACCCATGGTGCACAATTATGGAGCCACACAGACAATTTAAGCAGAGTCTGTGTCATGATTTTCTCCATGTGACAAATAGGAAGAGGTTTAAAAAAAACAAACAATCAACAAACAGGTGAAATAACAACCAGGCGGGTGGTTCGCCTGGTTGTTATTTCACTGTTTCATTGACATCATGATTTATTTTTTATTTTTTTTCTAAAAGAAGGAAGAAAACGGAGCGTTGGTGAGAGCAGATGACGCAGAAACCTAATTAAGATTCTCCAGAGCGTGAACAAATTAACCTGAGTTATGAGCATGCAGAAGCAAAAGACAAGACACACATATATGCAAACATACCCACAGACACACACACACACCTAACAGTTTATCTCTGGAATAGGTGGAGTCGGTGAGGATGACATTCACACTTACACCGGCATGACTGCCATGGACACTCAGTGATATTTTTGGCAGGGCCAAGGCAAAATATTACAGGCCATTTAGTCCGATAACACCACCATGGAAAACACAGCAAATTGGTCCACAGGTTATGGCGTATCTACTTTCATTCAAGTTTAATTTAAAGCGCCCTCAAAGTGTCCGCCTCATCACTCAGATTTGGGGCAGTAAGGATGATAAAAATGACATGTAGCTTCATGTGGAAGGAAAAAAAAAATTAGCCTAACAAGCGGAGCTGGATAAACAGGCTGTCCCGCGTAGACTATGCTAATGACGACGCAGAGAGCGACATATGCCAGGCATCAGTATGTCACTCCTCGGGGACATGGGGGCTTACGGTAACAGGATAGGAAGGTGGTGGTGTGTACGGTGGTGAGAGTTATGGGGTTTTTCCTTTTTAACTCTCAGTACAAAGCCCTGGAGGCAGACGGGGGGTGGGAGGGTTTAGAAACACAGGGATGAGAGTTCAAGGGAAAGGTACAAGTCTTGAATAAATGACAGCAGCGGGGATGAACTTGACCCATGCTGGAGGACTAAAACAGGAAGGAGAGTAATGAAGTGCAAACATGCTTTGTCATGCCATGTTACAGCCATAGGATTAGAATTCTATAATTAGAGGATGGGGCACAATAACACTAGCCTTCCTTTTCAGGAAGATGAGCCGCTGAGTCTAAATTACACAAGGGGACCAGAGAACAGATGCTGTGATCAGAACAGGCTGGTCTAGAAGTTTTCTATACCTGTAAATGATGCTTAGTTGCCACACGGTACAGTGTGATTGACAAGCTAAAAAAAAGATTCAAAATTTGGCACCACTGGTGAGATTTACTGATGTTTCTGTGATCACCTCATGACAATGTAATTTTTTATGACAGACAGCTGCTGTTAGGGGGACTGCTTTCCAAAGCAAGATGCATATTTAATGCTGTTCGTTTGCAGTTTTTCATGTATTATTACACACAGAAGCCTTTAGAGGTTAAGGTTAGGTATGTGGTCCGACACCTGCTCTGTGGCTGACCTGAACATCAGTGAGGAGCGCAAAAATACCGAAGCCGAGTTGTTATAACGCCGCTATAACCGAGGAGCAGTGGACTGCTAAGATAACGCCTGAATTTCGTATATGAAAATTTATCTCAGAGGCTGGCATTGGAACAGATGAGCCCGCATGGGAGAGAGAGCGAGCCATCCATCTCACTCTCTCCCCCTTTTTCCGCACTTCATTCTTTACTTTCATGCATCTCCCTTCTCTTGCAATCACCATTTCAATGCTTCTTTCCTCTTTTGCATTTTCCACCCACATTTTCCCTCTAGGCTTCCCCTCTTTTTCTTGATATCACCCGATCTATTGCTCTTCCCCTTAAACGCCATCCCCCTATCCATTCACTCCATAGCACTGATGTATGGAAAGAGATGGAGGGACCCAAAAAAAAAGGAAAAAGGCTTGTGATTAATGTCTTTGAGAAAAAGATAAATAATCACAGGAGACTGGGGGCTGGTAGTTGGCCTTAGGGGAGTAAATATGGAGAGTTTTATAGCTGCTCACTTGGGAGAGAGGGAGGTGGAGGACGGGATGGGAGGGGAAGGAGCGGAATACAGCGACAGCAGATCCATTCAAGTATATTAGCTTCCCCCCCCCCAAACCCCCATACACAATAACCTCTGCATCTATTCTACTGCTCTACTGTCTTTCATCATCAACACTGAATCCCATCCCACTGACAGCACACACATTTGCACACAAGAAGCCACACAAAGTCATGCATGCATATACGCTTGTGTGCGCACAAATACACGCCCTAACAGCCACCCTGCACTGTTTTCCAGGCCAGACCCACTGTATGTGTTTGATGGGCCAATACATGTGGTGTGTGATGTGGCTGACAGCCTCCCCCCTCCCACGCTGCCCTGCTTTTAAGCCCTCATCCTCCAGTGGCTGCCTGTCCCCTGGAGTAGATTGCATCTTTTATTTATCATTTTCTCTTCCTGGCTTTATCTTCCCAAGCTTTAAAAAAAATAAAAAATTCTGGGGTGAAAATTGCAATCAGCATAACATGCCCTCCTCCTGCTGTGTACTCGCCTGTCATTCTCCACTCTCTGTGAGCATGCGGGATGAGACTGACAGCCCATGCAGACTCAGACACACAGACACACACACAGAGGGAGAGAGATGCATGTACAATTTCCCTCTGTGTTTATCAAGCCCACACACACACACTCTGACACACTTTTCCATCTCTTTAAAGCAGACAGAAGCACATGCATGGCCACAGTAAATGACCTCGTTACCCTGCCTGTCACTATTTCCCAAAGCACAGACACACACACACTGCTTACATATACCTCGCTGACGCCTCACACTTTTTATTTAACCCTAAGCTGAGTGCTTTGCTTCCTAAAGCCCCAAATGACCGAGCCCATAAATGAGACTAATGCTGGGGAATCTGGTAAACAGGCCAGAGAGAGGGAGGGAGAGCTGCCTTCCTGTCTGCCTACTCCATGGCTACTATTGTGCACTGCACATTCTCTGAGCCCACAAGAGCTGAAGCCATCTCCACACAGATTCTTTGGAGGGATAGTAAGCCAAGAAGTGAGAGAGGAAGAGGGAACAAGGAGGGGGAAGAGAGAGAGATGGAGAGGGAGGGAGGGAGGAGGAAGAAGATCATGCATAAAATCTTGTTTGCAGAATGCATTAAGATTCAGATGAACTGGGGAGGGTAATGGGATTAGAATCCTGAACCGTTTCCAAGGGTGGGGAGTCGGATTGACAGCTGAGTCTATTGCACTGACGATTGCAGTGAAATATTGTGGCTCTGGCAAAGGCAGCCAGCCAGCCAGCCAGCCAGCCAGGGGGTTGCTGAGCCTATAGCACCTCTAATTACCCCGAGCTTTACCAAAAATGATGCCGCCAAGGGGAAAAAACATATTTGTCATTACCCCCGTGCATATAGCTTGGGCTTTAAGTGAATATTGGAAAGGCAGAAAGAAAGACTTCAGTCCGTCTCACAAAGGTGTTTGGCAAACAAAACAGAAGCACTGTGGCTTTAAATCACCGTCCCTCCCACCCTTTCTAAATATCGTCTATTTAGCCAGCGGTGAAAAGATATAGGGGGCTTTTGTCTGCGTACCCATCGGTGGGGGCATGGAGAGCTAGAAAGACACAAAAATAGGAACAAAGTGCTAAGCTTCCAATTGGGAAGGCTGTGGGCCATTCAATGCGCGCAGCTCAGTGGGTAAAAACGAGAAGAAGTGGGCTACTATTACGGGCTTGTCTGAAAATAGGCTGCTCTCACACACAGCTATAGGGTAGACTGGTGTGGAAATACCCTGCATTGTTTATAATAGACGAGACTAAGGGAGGAAAACACGAGCCCTTTAAAAGTCTGGCATGGCTCCAATGGAAAAGGCAAACAGTGCTAGTTGGGTGTTTTGTTGGTTATATGCTGTTTTCCTGCGTTACTCTAACGCTATGGTCCACTCACCGACTTGCAATACGTTGTCCACCCAGCCACCCTCCAACAGAGTGACACCCCGTAGGAAAGGCAGCTGGGTCTCGTCATTATTGTCCCCGCTAGTTCCACTTTCCTCTCCTCCAGCGTTGAAAGAGGAATACATACAGATCTCCTTCTCGCTTCTCGGGAAAGACCAATATACGATCCTCCGCTGGACGGGCTCCGGGATCCTTTCGAACCGCTCCTCCACCCTCTGGAACGGCCACTTCTCCGCGACTCTGCGAGCCGCGATATCGAGCAACGACTCGGGGTTGTGCGTTTTCCCATTTCCCGACCCTCCCGGAGCGGACCCCGCGCCGCCACACAGGACACCTCCAGCCCGCTGCCCCTGCCTGCACGCCGGGTTGTAGCCGGGCCGGCAGCAGAGCCTCTTGGCTGGGGGCTGCTGGACTCGCTCGGCCATGTTCGCACCGCTTCCAACCTGAAGCGCAGTTCCTCTCCGATCATATAAACGGGATAAGGAAGAGAAAAGGGCAATCTCGCACCGATTGTTTGCCGTACATGGAGAGACTGCCCTTATTTGGAAAAGTGGGCGGAGCTTGTGAGTTCCGTGAAGTCCTTTGTGTTGTCAAAGTAACCGGATGGGCGGGATCCTGGAGAGCTGCCAGCGCACGAGTGGCGCTATAAAAGGAACTGGAGGCGGAATTCCCGAACGTCGGCAAATCCTTTGTGAAGCTGTTCGGGAGCGCGAGGGTGGAGCCCCGGCGGCCGACGGCCTTTGAAGTTTCCTTCTTATTTGAGTTTAAAGGCGGGGACTTAATCCAGGGGCGGCCTCGCAGTTTCCCACAGGGGTAAAAGGGGGCAAGAAAACTGACTTTTTTTTCCTTTGGAGCCTCAGCTACCACCCCGGGCTCCAGCTTCTTCAATAACAACTTGATCGTTGTTTTTGCGGCTTTTTAGTCCAAAAGTGGTTTCAGCTGTCAGGCTGCAGAGGGTAAGAACATATGAAGGTGGACATGCCTGTCCTCTGTAGTCACATCAGCTCTTATATGGTGCAGCCAATTGACAAGTAATCATTCGATCACTCATGAAAGACAAGCTTTTTGCCTATATTATTTATTTTAAGGGGCGACTCTTGATTTTTTACTTGGAGATCAGTATAATTGTTGCTTGGATACATAAAGTCTGAGAAAATAAGTCCAAAAGTTTGGCTGTGGTAACTTAAGATACTACCAGGTATACGGGTCATTGATGCTATCAAGGTAGTGTTTTTTAGAGTTATAGTTGGAAGTAGAAGTTTTATCCTGGGCACCGATGTAGTGGTAATTTGGGCCTTTTAACAATTTCTTTGAACTTTTCTTTTTTCCAGGGTGGAATGATTGCACTGCATGAATCTTTGAAGACTTCAAAACGACAAAAATTGTTTGCTCAAGTTTCAGTTTGTTTTGGGTTTTCTCTAATCCACACAGGGTCAAAGTAAACATACAGGTTCAAATATATTCATACACTCACATCAATATTTTAATAAGTGGTTCTGAAGGTTCTACAGTGTCTTTTAACTTGACAATTCCAAGCCCTATTGACTTCTCATTAGTGATCATGATTGTCTACAACTGGTAGTTTCTTTGTCTGCATCAAAAGGATTTGTTTGACACAGCATTACTCAAAACTATAGGAAAGTCCAAGGTCCTCAGTGAAGATCTAATTTAAACAAGTTGGGACGGTCTCATAGGGGAATTAAACAACTGCAGCTGATCCAATGATGATCCAGGATCATCAATTCCAACAACTGTACATAAGCACAAATTATTCAAACATGTCAACACTTTGTCAAGGACTGGAAAGACCCAAACTGCCACCCTCAGGTGGCAGGAAATTTGTTAGGATGTTCAGAAACAACCCAGGAACCATCCGAGGCTCAAACCTGCCATGAACTAGAAACTGCTGGAATACCAGCATCACTGCCCAAAGTGAAGCCAGTTTTACATCACTATGGACCACCAATGCACTGACAAAGAAAGAACTCCCTGTTCCAAAATCTATAGACTGAAATTTGCAGCTGCCTATATGAAAAAGCAAGATACCTTCTGAAGAAAAGTTTGATGGTCAGAATAAACAAAGATTGAGCAATTAGGCCACGATTACAAAAGGTAAGTTTGGCAGAGTAAAGGTGAAGCTTTCAAACCTATTCACTCTCCCAAGCATGGTGGTGGTAGCATCATGTTCTGGGGATGCTGAAGGTGACACTAGTACATTGCACAAAGTGGAGTAGAGTAATTAAGGAGTGCTACTTCCAAATTCTTGAAATTCACCTCAAATCAACAACTGGACAGTTAAAACTTGCATAGAATTGGGTGTTCCAACAGGACAATGATCCCAAACAAATCAAAACTGGTTTTGGAGTAGATAAATCAAACTCTGGAATGGCGTCTACAAATTCTTCCAAGAAGAGTTGTCAGATATCCATAAAGAATTATACCAGAAGCTTGTTAACAGCTACCAGAAACATCTGTGGAAGGTGTTGAGGGGCATTTCACAAAATGTTAATGGCATTAATCCATTAAGGGGTTTGGCTCTGTGTGGATTAGTAACAATTCTAAATAATTTCAAACTTATGCACTCAGTTCTTGTTTTTTATTCCACCCTGGGGAAAAAAAGTACAGTCCAAAGAAGTCATTGAAAGCCTCACATTACCAAGACAGCACCGGCCACAACTGTAGTTCTAGATAGCTATAGGTATAACTTTTAGGCTTTTGTGTTTTTTTTAAGTTCTCATAGCCATCACGTTTTCTTCTTATTACTCTTTCCTGTATTTCAGTCTATCATTCTGCCAAACAAAAAAAAAGGAAAAGAAATGCTAGAAAATTCTCATAGGAGAGCCAGACCTAGTGTGTTTCTTTCTTGAAACACTTATGACACATGGATTAGTGGAGCCAGTTAACCACAAACTGTGGTACACTCATTTTTACTGGCCCCCACCCTGTCTGTTGATAATGCTAGTTCCATGTCTGTGTGTCATGAAAGGGGCCCCCCAATTTTATAGGGGTAGAATACTCATCAGGGGTTAGGGTGTGGCTGCTGTTGCCCCCTGGTTTTTCCTGTATGATGAGCCACTACAGAAGTTAATTGTTATAAGCAAGTAACAAAGAAAAGCTGCCAAGTTGGGGTATGTTTTTCTAAATTGTCTATAAAAGTTGGCTCAAAACTACACTGGTATACCAGAATGTGTGTTTGCAATGTGTCTGCCTGCCGCATGTGTTCCCAGCTGCCCCTCTCATTGCTCTGTGAGTAAGTCTAAAAGGCTGGCCTTTGAACTGCTCTGAAAGTGATCCATGCCGTATGGACGGAGCAGATGTGGCCTAACCTGATTTGGTTTCAATACTTCCCCACAGGAAGTTCACAAAGCCAGCAGGTCCTCCTTTGTTATGTTAGTCATCTTTCTCAGAGGGCCAATGAAGCCTTTTTATTTTATTTTATTTTATTTTAACACAGTTATCATTTGCTTTATTCTCCAGATAGAACAACTCCACACACAATCAGACATTTCAGCTTATATATGTATATATGTATATATATATATATGTTTATAAATTGTTCTACATGTCTTTATTGCATAGTCTACTGCGTTTCCGTGTTTCTTTTGAGCAATTTGATACTGATGGACATAACAGGCAACCTCCAACTAGAGTATAAATAAGGTAATCTAAACTAAATGTTCCTTAATTTTCTTGAGAGCAACTGGCAAATAAATGTATTAAATATATTTAGATTTTAGAGTCATTCCTATAGCTTGATGGTACAGAGGACTACATATCCCAATAACCAAGGAATCTCGTCATGTCCAACCACAAGCGAGAACTCATGGTGCATTCAAATAATACTGATTAAGTGTAATTTCGAAAACTTCTAGCGGGAAAACAGAAAAAAATACAAATTTCAGGCAATTTCATACCCTTTTAAGTAAAGATAAAAAAAAAACATATTAAGCTGGAATTACAATTACGTTCCGAATTATATTTGAACGATTTGGCTTGTTCTACATAAGTTATACCGGTGCATTTTTGGTATTGACGGTCTGCGAATGCAACACAGAAGGGTATTTATCTTATCTATATTTAGATATTTATTTATATTTGGCATCTAATATTAGTGAAATGTTACACATTTAGAATAATTCATGAAGACAAAAAAATAAAAATAAAAATGTTTTTTTCTTGTTTTTACATTTTGCCGATATCACCTGAATGCCTCATTGCCACACCAGTTCCACTTCCCGGAACAAGGAGGAGCTGGGTAGTTTATCGCGGATACAAACACAAATCTCCGTTCATTTTGGTAAGTTGGTGTATTTTATGCCACTCTGAGTTTCATCAGGACTGACTGTTTTGAAAACATAAATTAGGCGGTTTGTTGCGTTCACTTAGACGGTCGTTCTACTGTTTAACCGAGAGTAAGTGCTCTTGTATCGAAAAGTCAGGCCTTAATGCACGGGTGGGCTAGCTAGCGGCAGTAGAAATGAAACTAAATGTTTCATCCGCGTCTAAGAAGTGCATATCTGTTCCTATATGCATACACATTAAAATCGCTCGCATAACTTGATGTCTTAAGGTTGTAGCTAGAGACTGTGGTTAGTTGGTTAGCTAGTTAGTTAGTCGTTGGTCATTAGCTGCTTGTGTGCCGCTGGTCGGAGCGCTTCACAAATGACTCCTGTTGAATGGCGCCCTAAATCCTTTTCACTGTCGTAGGGACTATACACGGAAACTGTGGGAACTGAAGTCTTTGGGGATAACTTCAGTTATCTAACAGATCATCTAAGTCCATTTGACGTTTGTAACTGTAATCAAACATTAAAAAAAAGACTTCGCTATACTTCCTTGCTCTGAATGATCATTTGGGGCTAACTACAGCCCAGCTGTTCCGTGTGCAGTGAAAGAAGTGCGCCTCTGTTGTCTTGTTTGACAAAGTCCGTCTGTTGTCCTCTTATTCATGCCATCTTGACAAAGTTAGTGACTGTGTTTGGGTAAAAGGACCGCAGTTTACCTAATAATAATGTTGTCATTGCACATGTACAACGAAATTGGGTGCAGTGCAAAGGTCTGAAAACAAAAGAGGCTTGAAAGTATTCCCATTGTGATTATTTATAAAAAGTCTATAAATACACACAGAAATTTCTAAAAGTAATCATAAAAAAGAAGGTAAAACACACATATCACACATGCAAAACAATTATCTTGCAAGGTTCGGCTTCAGCAGTGTTTAGTGCTGTTGTAGCTTTTGGGTAAAAGCTTTTTTCTATGTTTGTTCTTGTTTTAAATGTACTTAAACATCTGCACGAGGACAGCAGTTCAACAGTGTCCAGGTGGATCTTTCAGATGTTTTGGCAATATTATGTTAAACAAATGTGTAAGTGAGGTGTTCTTCCACCAAGATCGGACATGCTTGTGAGGATCAGCACTACATGAGACTGTATGGTTCCAGTTTGCTCTGATATCAAGCTTAGGATCGCTAAAGTAACAGAATTAGACTTTCCTCCTTATCAGTGTGTTAGAAATATTTAATTCTAGAACTTGCATTTGTCTCACCAGCATTGGATCTCTTTATTTCTGTTTAAATGTCTTTACTTAACTCATTAATGTCTTGCTGTTGTATCCGATAAGACTTATCACTCCCTGCAAATATGTGTGGTGTGTACACATCCTCTGGGAGCCTGCAGGTGGATGCTGGGAGGTTGTGTTTGGTATATGACAGGAGAGTGAGACATGTTTTTGTGTTATAATGCAGTTGCTGCTTGAACACCTTCCAGGTTTCTCTCCATTTATTCACTTCTAGATTTTTTTCTTGCTACAATTTTAAAAAGTACCTCACATTGTTAGGTGATATACACTGATCAGACATAACATTATGACCACCTAATATTGTGTTGAGCACCCTTTTGTTGCCAAAACAGTCCTGACCTGTTGAGACCCCTGTGCTGTGGTATCTGGCATTAAGATGTTAACAACAGATCTTTTAGGTCCCATAAATTGCGAGGTGGGGCATGGATTGGACTTGTTTGTCCAGCCCATCCAACAGATGGTCGATTGGACTGAGATCTGGAGAATCCACAGGCCAAGTCAACACCTCAAACTCGTTGGTGTGCTCCTCATTACATTTTTCAAGCAGCATTTTTGCTTTGTGGCACTGCACATTATCCTGCTGAAAGAGGCCACAGCTGTCAGAGAATAACATTACCATGAAATAGTGTGCATGGTCTGCAACAATGCTTAGGTAGGTGCCAAAGTAACATCCACCCAATGTTTCCCAGCAGAACATTCCCGACCACTGGTTCACCACTGTTCCTTCCTTGGACCACTTTTGATAGATACTGACCAATGCAGACCAGGAACACCCCACAAGAGCTGCAGTTTTGGAGATGAACTGACCCGGTCGTCTAGCTGTCACAGTTTGGCCCTTGGAAAAAGAACTCGCTCAAATCCTAACACTCGCCCATTTTTCCTGCTACTAACACATCGACCATGAGGAGACAATGTTCATTTATTCCCTAATATATCCCGACCAACAACAGGTGCCATAATGAAGATGTAATCAGTTTTATTCACTTTACCTGGTAGTGGTCATAATGGTATCCCTGATCAGTGTATTTAGTAGTTAATACAACAATTGGTTAATCTTACCTTTCAGAAAAATGAAATGATATCTGTCTTGATTTGAGAGTTGATTGTAATGCTGCCAAGTTGCTTTTTGGGGAACCAACAGTTTACAAACCAAAGATATTTGATGATATAAAAGAGCAACTAAGACTATAACCTATAAACAATTTTATATTTAACTTTCCTTTAAGTGCATTCTGAAAGTTGTCCATAAAGCATACTCCCCCTTTTGTAATATTTGAATATACACATATGTTTTGAGTATGACATATCGCAGATATTCACAGCTTTCTCTCGTGGCCATCTTTCTCAGGTCTGAGCCTCATCGTTCCTGAACAGGATGATCGACGTGCAAGCATGGGCAGAGTATGTGGTGGAGTGGGCTGCCAAAGACCCCTATGGTTTTCTCACAACTATCATACTGGCTCTCACCCCTCTCTTCATTGCCAGCGCTCTGCTGTCCTGGAAGCTGGCCAAGATGATCGAGGCACGTGACCGCGAACAGAAGAAGAAGCAGAAACGTCAGGAAAACATAGCCAAGGCCAAGAGGACCAAGAAAGACTGAGCCGGCAAGGGCTAGGATAGGGGCATTGCAAAGGACGAGCAAACCATCACGCTCGCAGGCCTCCTTTTCTAAACAATGACACGGTGCCCTTCCTTCTCCCAGCCCTACTATCAGCACAGGGTCACTATGCCTCATGTCCAGGGTAGGAGGAGGGACGCTGGCCCCACAGACTTAACAGTGCTGATGGACAGTACTGCCCTGAGGAAGCTTGTCCCAGTGGGACTTTGGTAAGCAACAGCACAGTAGTCATCTGTATAACGTTTTTATACAGTGACCTGCTGTTGCAACACCTTGCATTCCATTGTTGACATCCCCGTTTTGCTGAAATGATGACATAATGAGAATAATGGAACTTTTTAAGCTTGATAACTTGCGAGCTATCCAAATGATTACTTTATGATCAATAAAATTTTCATGGTTGGTAAGAAAGCTTCCTTTTTTTTTGGATTTAATATTGTGCTGTGTACTTATTTACCCATAAACACTGAATCAGAGGGCTGGTAATAAAATACACTACCACAAATTCAAAAAAGTAGGCTCGCAGTGTTCAGTAAGGTGACAGCAAGTGCATTTAAGGGTAATACTCCTGTATGTGCAAGGTCTTATTGTTGATTATGGAGTTCTAAAATATAAAAGCATCAAACAAATCAGCATGATCTGCGGTACAGGAAGGTGAAAAGTAATATTTAACAGGTGTGCCTTTATTAAATATCAATTTAAAAATAGTAAACCAGGATTACATATTAAACAACTCGTGTTTCATGTACTGTATGCTTTTAATTTGGATGCAGACCTTTGCTCATTTTATTAGACATTTTTTATTTTTGTTTATAAGTAGAAAGTGAACCTTTGCTTTGATTCAGTGTTGTAAAATAAAACATTCAGAAGTCCACAGGGGTTGGTATTTTTATGGGTGGCGACTGGCTTTGAGTACTCGTGAGCCTATAAAGAGGCAGTCAAAGCAGTTTAGTGTAACTCTTTTCTGTTTCTTAGTTTTACTTCCCTGCGTTCAGAGAACTGATGTCTCATGACTGCGTTTAGAATGACAGACATGAGAAGGAAGACTGTTTTAAGCTAACATTAGACCTTACTGCTCTTTTAACTAGTACAGTACAGTGCAAAAATCTCGTCTTCCCCTCTCTTTCTCCCCAATTTCCTGTCCATCTCTACTTCGTATCCAATAAAAAGAGCAAAAATATATCTCTGACCATTTCAGAGGATTTTTAAAAATTTGGTAAGCCACTAACTTTACAATGAATCATCCAAGCATTAAAAGACTCTTATAACTTTAGGGATGAACCACTGTTGTGTCTACACATAACAAAGAAAAAAAAAAACCAATTTCAAAGTGTACCTCTAGGCACTTTATTACTAGCAGCCTGTCACAAAAATACATCATTACCATTTCTGTAGTAGAATCTTTGAAAACTGCCAAAGACAACACAGTCTGGAGAGGTGTAAAATAGTATTTTTGCAACAACAGGGTGACAAATAGGAATATTTTGGCATGCTGAGCAGTTTGCCCTTAAAGAATCTGAAGAATCTGGACAAAAGAAGAAGTGACAGCCTTAAACAAAACTATCTATCGAAGATGAACGGTATCTGAAAGTTATGTCCTTAAGAAATGGGGGGAAAATGCAGCAAAGATCTGACACAGATGCAAAAGTCTCATCATAAATGGTCTCAGTGGAAGGGTGGCTGTGAGGAATCTATGCTTAAAGAGAAACAGGAAGAAAAGGCTGAGTTATTCTACAAGAACTAGACTGAAAATTCAGTGATGAATGCAAATTTGACATTTTTGGGTTAAATCGTCATGAGCATTGTACAGAGGAGGTCAGGAGAGAGATACAACAGTGAACATCTACAGCCATCTGCAAAACACAGCACAGGCTCTGACATGGTTTGGAGCTGCGTTTCAACCAGTGATGTTGGAGATCTTGATAAAACCGATGGAATTACGAACATCAGATTATGATCCTCCATGCAATACCGTTGTTCAGCATGAAAATCATCCCAAATGCATTTCAAATGCAGTAAAAATATACGTGGATAGAAAACACACAATGGAACACTATCAGTCATGGATTGGTCTCCCCAGAGCCCGAACCTCAATATTACTGAAGCAGGGTGGGATCATCGGGACAGAAAACAGAGCAAAAAGCAGCCAACATCCAAAGAAGAGCTTTAAATGTCCTTCAAGAAGTATTCCTGTAGAAATTACAAGGAAAACCTCCCTAAAAGAGTTCAGGCTGTTCTAAAGAATAAAGGCAGGGATACCAAATATCGACTTTTTTGCCTAGTTTACTGTATTTTTATAGCTTTGCACATTTCAGATAAATTGCTGCATCTATTTCCCAGTTTCCTAGCAAAATAAAGAAATCAAGAGTAGCTCAAGACTGTGTCTGCCCAACATATACTGTCAACATAAGTGAGAGAAGAATGTCTTTAAATCCATAAACTGCAACATTATTATTATTATTATTGAAGATCGCAAATATTGATTTGCGATCTTCAAATCAATATTCTATAACAAAGAGACAACAGTTCATTTAATGTAACCACATTTAATAATTATACTTATTTCACTTTCCCTGAAAGATGTTTGTAGTTGTACTCAGTGCAATTTATTCATTTTGTTTAGTTTTTTATCATTCAGTCTTTCACCAGCATGAACTTAGTTTAATTCAACTTCAAGATAAGTGATGGATACTTTCATGTGTATATATATATATATATATAATACAGACATGAGCGGCAAGAAAAGAAGAACCCCTGTAATGCAGTCTGGTAACGCAAACACCCAAAATTTATGGGGACGTTGACGACATAATACTGGAAGGAATTTCCAGTATTAAATCTCAAGTAATTTTATTGTAGGGCCCCTTTTGTTGATTGGATTAGTCTTTCTTGGAAGTGGGCATCCAGGAGCCAGGCTGGAACGTGTTTGCAGTGCTGGTTGGTTCCTCGTTGAATTCTTGCTTGTCGAAGCTGGTGGCAGCTGCGTGGCCCTTGGCCACAGTCCTCGCTGGAGTCGCCACCAGACCCTCCTTGTACTCTTTAGCCAGCAGAGCCCGATCTTTCTCCTCCACCTCCTTAGCTTTTGTTTTTATCTGCTCCCTGCTGGACTCGTTCTTCAGCAGCTCCTATAAAATGCACAAACATACGTGGATACTCAGGGTTTCTGCAGCCATCGTCAAATTCTAAGACATTTTCAATACTGCACACAGTGCAGCTGAACACCATTTTAAATGTCACAGAATAATGGAAATCCCATGAGGATATTTTTGACTAATAATAATAATAATAATTCAAATAATACTTGTATCAGTGGTTTCTAGATATAGACTATAACAATAATAATTAGAAGCAATAATTCCCCTGACCAGGACTCAGATAAATGTCATAAGCTTATTCATTTATTATATAATAATTTACCCTATTATGCTTTTAGAGAGGCTGAGGCTCTAGGTTTTGTATATGGATAAGCAGTCTGAAGTCTGGGGGTCAAGCTCAGAATTCAGACTGCACTTATGTCTCTGTTTCTTACAGTTTTTTTAAATTCTCGGCTCTCTATGATGTCAGCGAGTATGGATGCAGTGAGTTTAGGCAAACAACTCTGTCTTTAAGCCCAGAAGCCCCAAACACTTTTAACGTTTACTTGTTTGCAAGCAGCAACCAATCAGAAGAAAGCTGGCTTTAACAAAGGAAATAGATTAACTTCAGTCAACATTTTCAGGACTAGCTGACTAGCAGTGTTTTCTGCAGGTTTCAGCTCGGTGAAACTCAACAGAGAAAGAGAAGATTAAAAATAGACCACTTCTGCTTTGTGAATGTATAACACTGCACTCTTTGGAACCTCTTTTAAGTTACTAACTAATAAGTTACAATGAGCTCCTGAGATCACAAGGGCACGCAACATCTCTGACACTATCCATGTGCATCACCCACCCAGCTGGACATTATCTGATTGTGGTGTTGGAAATCTTGAGCTGGCAGTTTCGTGAAGATAGGAAAATCTGAGTATGTCCTACTTGCTGGAAACTCCAAACTCTCCTGCAAAACTCAAGCGGTGATAATTTCCACTCCTTAATCGACTATCTCTGTTTCGTCTTAGAGCATCAGCTGCTCACCAGTCAAAGTTAAAGGAGAAATTAAGCTGCACTGGGAAGCTTCCAGGAACAAATGTGTGCACGTGTCCAGTATGAAGTAGGGCATTCACCAGAAGAATAACAAACGTGTTCAGTTAACCTGGATTGGTCCAATAAAACCTGGTTAAAAATGTAGTACTTGGAACACATCGGTAAGCTAACATGACATGAGACATTCGCAATATAAACCACTCCATGGAAACAGTTACAAACTGGTCACAGTCCACTGGTGGAATAGTTACCCACTTGAGCCGCTGTTAGTGTCCAGTGATGTTAGCCTCGCCCTAGCTCAAGGAGCCAGAAAGGAAGGGAGGAATGGGCATAATGCTGTTGTGTGCTGGCTGAAATGAAGGACTGGAAAAGAGAGGGGAGAGCTGTGGCCAAAAAGCCCTGCTTTGGGGAGGGAGACAAACATACTGAGCTGCTTTTCCAGCCTGTTAATGACAGGATTTAATCCAATCAATTTATGTCGGCTTGGACCGGGAAAAGAGGGAGCGTGACAAGGGGTAGGGTAATGTGCTGGGAGTGAAGCCTTGGCCACATCAACACTGTCCAGCTGTCGATGGCAGCTATTGGGCAGACGCGAGGCAGAAAATTGGAAGAGAATGTTCTGGCAGTAGAGGCAGGGGATGGCATTGGCTACTGGCAGGCAGAGTGGACAGAGAGATAGAAAGAGTGCCTGGGTATTGGCCTTCCAAGGGATTTCCTATAGACCTACATTTCACAGGCCAAATAATTTCCAGCATTCTCACATTTAAAGAGCAATAAACCCAGTGAGAGGTACACAAGGGGGAAAAACTGCACTCCTTCACCATTCCCATCTCATAGGCTGCCAGAAATAAAACACAAAAAAGGCGAGATGCAGGCTTCTGCTGGAAAAAAAAGGAGAAAGAAAGTAAACTAGGACATGGTGTCAGTGAGCCCCTTGTTCAGAGGCTGATTTTGCTCTCAGCCTCACCATCAATGCACTTCAGCTGCTGTTTATTTTAACACCTGTCCCCCAAAGTTCCCGGATTCAGTTCGAGACTGTAAGATAAAACAAATCAAAGCCTTTCTCCCTCCCATCTTTGCTTCTTTCCCTCCCTTGTAACCAGTCCCCCAGAGTCCAACCATCAGCACAGTGGGGAGGCTGGGTGGAGACGTACCTCGATGGAGGGGGGCTCCTTCCGTCTGCCTCGGATCCAAGCTGGAGGAGAAGCAGGAGGAGGAGAGAGCAGAAATAAGACGAGTGAGAACACCCACACAAACATATGCTGCACAAACACAACCTGCAGTCATATTTAAAAGCTGCAACTATAGCATCACAGAGTTTCAGGGGCACTTCAGTAGCTCAGCGTAACTACTGGGTAACCAAACTAGCTCGGGGACTGTATGCAGGGTTTTTTTTTTGGTTTGTTTTGTTTCATTTTACTTAGCACACTATAGGGAAAACATCCAGAGTTATACACATGGCAAACTCAAAACGCTAATACTGCTTTAGTGTAGGCAGAACAGGGCCATCGGGCTCTGCATCTCAGAGGGGAAAGAGGGGATCTGCTCTGATCTTTGAATTTGAAAGTACACACTCTGTCATTCTTCATCAATACCTCTGTCCTTCTTCTTCCTCCCGAGCAGAACTGTGTCTGTCTGTCCCCCCCACACACTTCTTCTTTTTAAGAAGCTCTATTTTGGCTGAGCTGGCTGCACAGCACAGAAGGGTAAAGGGAGCCAGCAAGAAAGAGCGAGAGAGATTTTGTAACTCTTCCTCCAGCTAGCACGGGGATTCTGGGCCTCTTTTATCCTTTTCTTATTTGCATCCTGATGAAAATGCATGAGGGATGGGGCGAAGCAGGATGAGGGGTTTAAGGTGGATAAAGCCAGTCTGAGACAGAGGGAACAGTTTGTATCCAGTTGTAAGAAATTTGAAACACTATTTTATGGTACGGTTGTATAACACCAGCAGAAGGCATCTTTGATAAACTCATAAATACCCTTTTCACAACCCCGCCCCCAAACTCCATCTTGCAGTTTGGGGGAAAAGAAAAAAACAAATCAGTGGATTAGCTGAGGCCCCAAAAGATGCAACCATGAATATGTCATTCCAGTTTATTTGTGCAGCACTTTTTTTTTCTTTTAAATAAACTCTGCCGGATAACTCTTTTGTAAACACTGCCATTTATCCGTGTTAGTGATAGTTAAAATATGTAACAGTGATGCTACTGCCCAGACTTACCGTCCCACTCCATCGGAATGCTGCCTTCCATATATTCATATTCTTTAGCATTGGCTGCTTCTACTATCCGCCTGGCACGGACAATCCTTCCTGGAAAAAAAAAACAAAAGCAAAGGAAAAAAAAAAGACAGCATGAGGAAACAAGAGTGAGATAGAGACGCCCAACAACGATGCATACAAAACGCGAAACAGGACAAACACAAAGCGCAGACACAATGCTCTCAGTCTCCTGCTCACGCAGACGCACAGATACAGACAGACACACAAATACGCAGAGGGATGACAGCGCCGTGACAGGCCATGGATGATTACCTCGCGGCCCTCGGGCCCTTCTCCTCAGATCTTGCTGAGTGGCTCTAAATCTGGGCTAAGCCTTTATGCAAATCAGCCTTCCTTTAAACCAACCAACCACAGCCCCCCTCACTGACAACCTCTTCCAATCACAGCTCTCCGGCTAACAATGCCCTCCAAAATCAACATCAAGCCGAGCGGGAGACAAAAGAGGTCAGATATGACAGAGAACAGGAGAGGCACGAGCTGCGTGGAATATTAAGTGCTCCTTTCCCTATCTGTATACAGCACAACGCTCGCTAGCAGCAAGGCCACCGCCAATTATTTTGGACAAATCTGCTGATTAGACAAGTCGGGCTGGCACACAATGACACGGAGATGGTGGCAGGAGCAACGGAGAGTGATATAGGCAGAATAAGAGAGAGAGAGACAGAGCAAGAGAATTAAAAAAAAAAAAAAAGACCCAGTTGTGTATGTCTTTGGGTGGTGCTACAGAGCGTCACACAGTGTTCACTAATAACAAGCGCTGTGTTTCCATAGTTTCTCCTCACAGGTAGCCGGGTGTCTATCCTATCGCTTCCATCCCTCTGAGAAATGATGAGGCAAAAGAAAGAGGAGGTGGAGAGAGGGAGAGTGATGATGCATGGCAAACATGGCTAGAAGGAGAGAAATGGATGGGCAAGGAAAAACAACACGCTCCAAAACACAGACAATCTGTCAGGAATCCATCACAGTTTCTCCGCAGCTGACTGGACATGGACAAATGGAGGCAACCACCTCCATGCACACTGCAGACTGATGGCCTTAATGTTTACTTCAGCCATAACAGATAGCTATGGCACTGGGATGGATAAATGATGACATCCTGGAAAAAAAAAAAAAGAAGAAGAAGAAGAAGAAGAAAGTGTCGACTGTGTGTTTGCTTCACTTGTGTCACTGAAATGTATTTGTCCCGCTCAAGTTCGTTTTGGGGAAGACAAAAGCATTTTTCATCCATGTTCCCTTCTGTAATTACTTCTTATGAGGATGATTCCTTTCCATACTTTATCCAGCCTATATAGTAATCAGGTCATCTAATTAGGCTACTATTGCGTTGGTTCTGCCTTGGTTCCCACTAGATTGTCACTATAGGGCCCCACAGGCTCCAGTTTTGCAGCTTTATTTTAGTGGCGTCCAGGTCTGACAAAACACTGCATACTTTCAACCCCCCAAAACTGCAAAATAGGCCGGGCAATGTGCAAAAAAACATTGTCACTTATTTACATTCATGCCTTAAAATGTCTTCTGAGAAATACTTTCCTGGAAACCCACCCCCCACACACGATAGCACAACAAAAACAACTGCCAGCAAGCAAAAATGCTGTGCTCTCCAGGCAATACTAACAAATGCATTTAACAGGTATGCTAATTATGAACAGATCATATCCATATTTGCATGGGGTGTGGGTGGCAGCAGACAAAAATGGTACAATTATATTACAGTCCCCACAAGCAATGTGCTTAGCTGCAGCTAATGCCTGGCTAATAAGCATAAAGAGAGGCACCCACTTTGTCTCTCTCTGTCTCCATCGCTCTTCACTGGGTTGCATCCGCCCCCTTTACTCTCCGTCACACTCCAACATGGCTGTCCTCTTGTCTTGTTGCTTTTTGCAGCATGACTAAACCCCTTCCACCACAGCCTTTATCCCCGCATTTAAATAACAAATACAGTATGTACATATATTTATGAAACACGACCGATCCTCCCATTACATACGCGTTGGGTGGAGGTGTGTCAGTCTGATATGGTGAATCTCCCTCTGTAGGTAATCGCTGTTCTTGTACGGCTATGAAATGAAACGTGCACAAACACAGAGACACGGGCCATAGCCATACTGTCGTACTGCTTCTACAACAGCTGATATAAGAATACGCAGTATTAGAACTACAATTAGTGCATACAGCCTTACTTTTTAATTAATGTATCATAACCAAACTGCCAACAACAATAAAAATGACCATATTTACAAATCATCTCTTCTCATATCATTCATATACGTCTGTGTTTGTACCTAAAATATCTCAGTTATATATCGTTAGTGTGTGCTTTACTGGAGTCTACAGACTTTAGGATTCCGGACACATACAGTCATCAGACCAGGTGTAAGCCATCTTTCTGCTTCGCACTTCAGCCTTGCACACACCTACTCCCCCACCTTTAGAGAGAGCAAGAGAGCGGTGGGAGAGAGAAAGTGAGGTATGAAGGGTGTTGGGAGCTCTCCATCTCGGCGGGCCCCCTTGTGACAGGTCTGCCTTCTCATCACTCACTAGGGGAAACCTACTTACCAGTCAAATGCGCACACCCACGGACGCGCACGCATACACACAACTGGCTGGAGAGCAGGCAGATTAACCTGAGGGACAGGAGCGAGGACGCTGCCTCTTACCGTGAAGGACAAACGCAGTGCTGCGTTGGAGAAGGGGAGGGGCCACCGGCAACAGGAATGAAATCCCACTGCATAAATATTCATGAGCCATCTCACCTGTCTGAACGCGACTCATCTGTGAGCCTAGCTGTGGAACCTGTGGGGGAGGGATGGGAGAGGAAAAGGAAGGAAGGAAAGAAGGAAGGGAGGTGACAGAGGGGGGTTGCTGTGGCAGCCACACTTCAATCCTTCCCACTCGTTAAAATAAGACATGATGCGCTCCGAGGGCTGCTCTTTGAACCCCGAACACACCCCACTAAACTCCATCACCTGCTTCAACACACACACACACACACGCGCGCGCACACACCCAACTTCACACATCAGCTCCCAGGTGAGTACCGCTGAGGGCGACCTGAGAGGTTTTTCACCTCCACAATGTCATTCCAGGCATCTTGCGCTGTCGCCTCCACTGCACACTTTTCTCCCGCACTCCGTTTTTCATTACAGACGCGGATGTCAAGGGAACGCACTTCGATTAGCAACATCCGGGTAATGAGAGTCCTTTAACGTAGACAGGATGCAGCTGAATGAGCTCTCTGCATCTGACCCCAGCTTTGTGGGTCTGAATTGTAATGCAGACTTTAAAAAAAACTGCAACAACATCTCAGCAGAAAGAGGCTTGTTTTTTTTTTTTGTTTTTTTTTTTTCTTTCCGTTCTTTTTGTTTTTGGGGGGGGACCCGGGGTTTTTTGGGCTTGTTTCGTTGCGGGGAAAAAAAGCCACCCTGAAGCAGCGAGCAGTATTTGAGCTTCGTTTATTCCTCTCCGTGCTGCTGGAGAGGAATGGGGGACCAGTACGTGCATCGTAATGGACAGCTTTATGAAGATGGAGTGATCCGATAAGCTTCAGGGATACAAGGGCAAGCAGGTAACAATATGGACAGCCCCCACAACTCCCTCACTCCAATTTCTTTCCCTGGGAAAAAAAAATGGAGGGGATGTGTGAGGCCTGTAACCATGGTTACCCATTAGCCCAGAGCCAAGTGATGCAGGATGCGGTTTAGAGGGAAAAGGCCAGTCGCTGTTTTGCATCAGTTCTGCTGGGAGGAGGAGCTTAGGTCTAAAGTAGGCTTCCTGCCGCTGCTTTCAGTTCCATTCAGCCCTCGTTCTGTTTGTCCCTGTTGCCGTCGATCCCGCTGAGGCTTGGAGCGCCTCACTGCAGGAACAGGGGAGAACAACTCATATCGAAGTAGTAGCGCTTTAAGAGGAATACTTGGATTTCCCCTGTGTTTTTACTTTTAACTAAGAGCTTAAGGCTAGTGGAGATACCGTGGCCCAATCTGCCCAAGACCACCCAAATTCAAGTTTCCTTCCTGCCCAGTGGTTATAAAAAAAGGAATGTAGTGAGCCAGGAAGTCAGCGTCCTTTGTGAGGCTGTGGAGCGGCATGGACCCCCTTGCTACCTCAGCGGCTCCTAAGAGGCCCATCTGTGTGATGTCCATACACTAAGCTGTCCACCCCTTTCTATTCACCCGCATCACTCCCACCCAGCCCTCTTCCTTTTCCCTCCATTGCACCTTGAGTCCCCCCACTGTTTCTCCGCGTTAACCTATCCCCACCTTCCCTCTCTCCCCCTCTATCTGCCCGCCTGTTCCACCCACTCATTTCACCCTCTTTCTGTCAGGATACCCTTCTTTCACTTTTACTCTCTCCATTCTCCCCACACTCTATAATTTCACCCCATATGTCAGCTTTCCCTTTGTTCTTTGTCACTCACTTTCCTGTTACCCACCTTCTTCTCCACCCTCCGCGAGTCTCCCTCGCCCTTATCTTTTCTCCCATACTCCTCGCCTTATTTCTCTCTGCCTGTCTGCTTTATTAAAATATTCTGAATTGAATGAGCAGTGGCAGGCTGCTCGTGCGCTGGCCTGTCTGTCAGCCTTCCTGGTTGAGTTTCTGACCGACAAAGACCCCCGAGGTGTCAAAACACCTCGCTGGCTATCTTACCGCGCAGAGCTGTGACCGTGCTGGATGTGAATCACATCTGGGTCATCTGGCAACATTTCTTTAAATCCGTTTTGCTGTCTTTCTTCTTCTGTTGGCAAGATGTCCGTTTGGAAGATGTGAAAACAATGCAACTGACATTCAGACTTAATGTATTACAGATACAGGCCTACTGCAGATAGGCAGTGGTTAATGGACCTGCGAAATGCCACTTAAACCCCTAATATTGGATCGAGGCCCACTTGAAATGTTCCGCCATAGAAAATAAATGTTCCCATCTCTCATTTTCAGCCTCTATCCTTTCAAATGCCTTTTTAATGAAGTAGTTAAGCCACTCCATGATGTACAACCAGATACACATACAAATACACACTTGGCAGCCATTTTTAGAGACATTAAAATGCCTAGAAGGACTCTGCCAGTATACACCAAGATGAGCTAAAGCCTATAATGATTAAACAACCTTCATTTAAACCGCGAGCATTTCAAAGCTGCTGATCAATTAGCGTGATTTACTGTGGCGTCTCTGGACGTAGCTGCACCGTGGCAAACGCCGACTTGGTGTCCTACTCTAGGGTAGACCTTCCTTCATCACACCCTGGGGATGAGTCGTGGCAGAATAAACAGCCATTTGGACCCTCGTCGCTCTCCGCTGTGACTCCTTTCCGTGGAAATATGCGGCTTGAATCAACGCTCTGATGACACACAGCCATCTGTTGTTGTCTTAAGTGTGTTAGGGCATGAAGTGGAGAGAAAACACACAATGGCAGATCTTCTTCATCTTCCTTTTTTTTTTCTTCAAATACAAAGCTGATAGTACACAAAGTGTGTAGCTGTCATTTCACTTAAAGACATCCACACACAATCAAATACGCGTACGCCAGTGCAAAAAGCGCACACCTCCTCCCTCGGTCCCCAGAGTCGCCCATCCTGAAATAGCAGAACTGAGGCCTTTTCAGTTTTTCACTTCATAGAACAGAGCTGGGGAATCAAATAAATAATAGACAAAGAAAGAGGGATAGTGATAGGACGACAAGTCAATGCATCTTTTCTCTGCAACAGCGTGGCGCACCTCTGAATCTCTTCCATTCTCCGTGCAGCGTAGAGGACCAATAGATTAAAACTGCATGGCACACACTGCGAAAATGAATAGCGCTAAAAATACATCCTTTTCACTGAGACATGAAAGGAAACTGCCTTTCCCCTGTCCAGTATTGAGCAGCCATTGATTCCAAGACAAAGGCTACACCTCCTCAAAGAGGTAAGAAAAATAGCAATCATACAGGCAATTATTTTCAAATGTGCCTGCAGCGGCCGATAATGTCAGCGCGCCTCTCTTACTAAATAAAGGGAGGGAAGGCAGGCGTCAAAGCTGCAGGCCCACTGCCGAAGACAAATGAGCCCATCCACAGAATGCTTTGCTTTCATCTGGGCAGCATGACACGGAGCCCCATGCAGCGTGAGGAAGAGCCGGGCCCGGGGGAGAGATGCACACAGAAAGAAAGAATATAGATTCTCTATTTAGCTCTGTGGAGACAACACCGAAGCAAAGACCTTCTAAGACCAATGGCCAGATTGCCAGTAGCTCTCTAGTAGCGCTGCCACAGACAACAATCGCTGGGCCTCCACAGCCTATAGCGCATTTCTTTCTATGAAGCAGCAGCACACGGTAGGCCTTTATAGCCCGACCTTTTTTATAAAGACAGAGACTCTCGCTCTTTCTCTCTCAAGGCAAGTGCTTCAGACCCAGGCTCTTTCATTTTGATGAAGAGCAGCATCTGAGGAGAAGGGGTTAGAAAGCTCTCTGCTGGGTCTAGCCCTCCTGACTGCTGAAATACTCCACTGTTTTGAATAGAAATCTTCACTGGAAATACTTCAAAGGAGGAAAAATCCAGTGGCAGCGATGAAAGGGAGGGGCGAGGGGAGGAAGGGCCACGTGAACGCAAATAAGAAAGGCAACCTAAGAAGAAGTTGTTGAAATCAGATAGGACAGATGCGCACAAAAAAGACGTTGTTTCCTTTTTCTTCTCCGTCTTAGAAACCATTACCGTGCTACTATGTAAACCACCCCTGGCTGTCAGGATTGCTTATGCCCCAGATTTCTAAAGATAACAGACTGAGAGAGAGGTAGAAAATGGAACCAGGAAAGCATGGATAAAGGTAGAGGTGGATGGAAGGAGCACTAGGGGTGAACAAAATGAAGTGAAGAAAATGCCGGAGGATGACCGCCTCACCTGCATCGACTGCTACTCATGTGCTGCAGTGGAAAGCCCTGCGGTCCATGCCTAAAGACCTTAAGCCCCTTCTTGGCCTATCAGTTTAAGATCAAAAAGAGCTTGCTTTAGCGAAACATATGGACTGAATAATGCATCTGCTTTAGTTCCACAAGGCTGGACAGGCTGAGTGCCAGAAATAAAAGGAAGCAAATGTGTCTGCCATATATTCCTTTATGTTTATTATGAATTTATATATGAGACTGTATACGTGCCTGTCTGGCAGTCATGATGGTGTCTGCTAGGTACCAGTTTTCCTATAAACCAACTAGCCTCTCTACTCTGTCAGTCATTGTGATGGGACAGTGAACACTTTTTCCTGCAGCGTGCCAAAAAATGGGCTGCTGTGATGTCTCATTTGAATAGTCTGACAGCCAGGGGTGGAGAAGCGGCCTTGTAATGAATTATAAATACAAGGTGGGTGCAGGTTTCCCCGCAAACTGCTGAGAAAAGGTGAAGCACAAAGTCAAGTTCAGTCGAAAAAGAAAGCAGGCTTGCAACCTGCCAGG